CTATGAAGAGTAGACAACTGCACTTGTGATTTTAAGAGTGTAACTCAAAAATCACCATGAAATCAACAAATAGAACATAATTCTAAATACATCTATTAAAGGGCCATTTCTTTCATATTGATTATAATAATATGCAGATTAAACACAGATAATGGACAGTACATGAATGTGGTCTATGATCCTAACTTATAACTTCACTACATTTCTATTTGAATAAACCCATTTTAAGTTATTATGCATAGCTTTGATGACAAGTTATAAAATCCTTATTGCCTTTTGATTGGCTCTGGTAACTAGTCCAACTAACTTTAAAACACACATTTGAAAGCTTAAATTCCCTTTCAATGATGCTAAAATGCAAATTGTCACCATTATACAATAAATTTGCGCTTAAGTAGAATTTACTAGCTCATTTATTCTGAATCTACATAATTAAGCATCATTAATGAGAAAGCATATAGCCTATACAAGACTGCAAAATCAACTAAACTTCAAGACATTTATTTGCCATTGAATTCTTTGATTTGATTATGGTAAGTGAGCTATGGTCTGTCTTGGGTGGCTCCCTACAAAAAGAAGAAATGTAATTATCAAGAGAGAAGCAAATAAGTATGTGGCTTATGAAATCTCTCACCAGCCCCAAACCCACAGGGAAACTAAATGAAGAAGCCATTCTGACCACCATTCTAATTGTATAGGGTTATTCTCTATTCAATATGCCTAGTTTTATACTGATCACCCCTTCCAGTTTTATTTGGGGGCTCAATACATAGAAGGAGAAACTTGTTGGTTAGAAATATATAGTCATAGGGGGCTTCTTTGGTTTTTGTAAATTTCATTGTTCTCTAAGGTATGGTATTTTCAACACAGTGAGATTGACAAAGCTATGCACAGTCCAGGTGGCTCTCATGAAATAGAGAAAAATAGATTTTTGTGAATTTCATACCCTTCAAACTTGCTTTGTTGCTTTGGAGTCTGGTGAATTGAGATGATTATGTCAACCTACCTATAATCTATGCTTCTTTCAGAATCATTTCACTTTGGAGTTTCATTAAAAAGACAGAAGAATGTCTCTTCTCTCTTCTCTAATAGTTCTTCTCCTGTTTCCCAAGACCAATCAGAAGGGCAGGTTTTAAACAGAGACTGGTTAGTACCTTGGATAGTTCCTGAGTCTTCCATTTATTTAATAACTAATTTTCATTGCTTATTTGATATTACCTGGAAACAACTGCAATGGAATGGCACAGAGGCATACAGCCCAGCATGCTGATGGAGTGCTCTCCTTCATTCTTCTCCTCACTAACCTTCTGCCCTCAGCAGATACATGGTGTTTTGCCTACAAAAGTATGCAGCAGAGATTTAGTGACCCCAGGAGCTCTCTGAGTCTTGCAATAACTTATTTTGAACAGTTAATCAGGAGTTTAACCAACAGGGATTAAGAGTAGGAATTTAAAGCAATTTCACAGCATGGAGTATAATTGGTTTCTTTTATACTTTGCTCTGCTGCTCAACCAAGGATACTGTATAATCATGCATTTGCTGCAAAATCTATTATCCTTTACTTTGCATAACCTAGCAAGATCAAATATCAGGCAATAAATATATCACATTCTGATCTTCAGATTGTTGATTTAAAAATGAACTCCTCTCAATGTTACATTTTAGAACAATGAGAAAAAAATATGTCCCTTTGCCTTGTTTGTCATTCAGGGAAATGTCATCTTCTTTACTTCATGTTTACACAATAATTGTTCCACCTTATATACTTTTTGTTTCTCTTACTTGGTTCTGTCTAGATACAGAAACAAGGAGGAACTTACAGTAATGTCTAGACTCTAGGTCTTCACTTCATGAAGGTCACAGATGACCAGATGTGTGCTGTCCAGCAGAGGATTTCTTTCTTTCTATAATCCTACTGACTTTTTTTGCATCATTGTTTATCTTATTTTGGAAGGAATTCTACAAAACATTTCTGAAATTGGGGAAGAAAAATGAAAAAAAAAAACAGACCAAGAATCTCTTGAGACAGAATAATGTTAGGAGAAATAAATAAAGAAAAATCTCACATATTTTAAGTAGTCTAATATATCTACTTATTTTGGGGGTAACTACAATCAAGCAAGGATACTAATAAAACAAATCTGCCTTTCTTCACTTAATTCTTGAAATAGAACATAGATCCAACTGACTGATGTGCTAAAGGTACAAACTCTTTTAATCAAAACACATGACCCTGCATCGTTACACTTTCTAAGCTATTGCTCCTTTACAGTCTGCTTTATACATGATAGATTTAAACAATTAATAATGGAGTAGCATATAATACATTTAATTATGAGGCAAAAACATTAACCAACCAAGAGAACTATTCAAGTGTATGTTAATTAAATTATGACTCTAAAAATACTCAGTTTAATGTATTATGGCACATAGTAGGAACCCTTTGTGAGTTTTTTCTAATAAAGAGTGCCAACTGACATGAGAAAAGTGACACTGTAGTGTAATGTGAACTCTTCCCACCAGCCTGATCCCATATCCATGTCAACCCCAAATGAACATACAAGACTAATATTAATTGAACAGCTATTGGCCGTTGGCTATGGTTTCTTCTTGGCTAGCTCTGACTTAATTATTAACCCATTTCTATCAATCTAAGCATTTCCATGTGATCTTCTCTTACCAGAGAAAGGGTCTGGACCTGTTACTCCTATCCTGTTGTACATAATGACTGACTCAGCATGTCCACAGAAAAGAGAAGAGAGGGATTTCCTGTTTTTCCTGCTTACATTCTGATTCTGTCCAGCTAAGTCACTTCTTGTCTATCTGTACAGACCCCCCAGATCTCCATGGTTAACTAGTTGCAATTTCTGCCTTGCTACATCACTTCCTGGAATCACATGTTGACTCCTCTCTGCCTATACTTCCCAGAATCCTCCTTGTCTCCTGGTCCTACCTATCATCATGCCTGGCCAATCAGTGTTTTATTCATCAACCAAAAAGACAAACTTATACACAGTAGAACATTCCCCATCACTGTAGATTAAAAATACATTTGATATAACTGTGATATGTAATGTATAATCAATTATTATTCAAATAAATGTTCACTTCTAACACCATTATAGTACTATTAAATAAGGCAAATAAATACTTGTCTGGGTATTATGCCATAAATGTATTTTAGTATATGAATCGTAAAAAACATGAAGGTGTTCATATCTGTGACTAAATTATTAGCTATCTAACTTAAGGTATACAAATGAATGAAACACTATGATATGTTATCACACTTTCAAATTATAATTGAAAATGATAGGTACTGTATGTGAAAGAAACAACAATAGCCATTAGAAAACTAACACATTTATTTTACTCAGTAAATTAGACTCAGCATGAGCAAATCTTTGCAGTTCAAAATTTCTTGGAATTTTCTTACAACAAAATAATGTTTACAAGATTGAACCCCAAGTCATGTTCCACCAAAATTCAGAAATAAATATTGGTGTTCTGAATTAATGACTTTATCAAACATCAAAACCACTCAAACTTTTAGAAAAATCTATTATCATCCTTTTCTTTGAAAACCTGTTGTATTCTGGTTATGAAAAATTCCAAAGTATAAAAACAAAAAAATATAGTCAGAATTCCATTACCCAGAAAAAACATATAATTAATGGCATTTCATGAAAATCACTTCTGTATGCACATTTATTGTTCTCTGTGTGTAGACAATGTGTAAAGTAAGAACACTTTCAATAAAAGTTTCCCAGTATTAAATAAATAGTGGTTTAGTTGTAAACCAACAAAGGTACACAACTTCTTCTCCCCTTCGGCAAAGTATTGAAACTCCATGATAGAATCCAATGATGCATATTGGTTTGGAGTGTTATTTTCTCTATGCCCAATTTGGGTCCCATGGTGGCAAAATGGCTACATTAGATCCAGGCATCTACATTCTAAGCACAAAGAAAATGAAAGTGCAATCCTGCAATGGACTTGTATTTTGTCATTAAGAATACAAGTTTCCTGGGGAATTCTTATCTCTGGCACTTTTCAGTTTATAGCTCTGTAGCCACATCATTGCTTTTCTACATCTAGGGAGCCCCGGACCTAAGAAATGGAATTTACTAGTGAAGGTTGTTAGATACATTAAAATATCCATAGATATAAAGCACAATCATATTGAATCTTGAATATTTCCAATAAATATTTAAAATTTTGTTTTATAGGAAAAAGTAAATTTCAAGGAAATATTGAAATAGTAGGTTCTCACAAAATAGCTCTTATTTTGTAAAAATACCTGTGATATTAGAAAGATTAGGTATTTATAAAAATATCAAGATTAAATATGATTTATTTGTATGTATGGATGTAGTGATAGGCCCTGGCACTTTCTTGTGTGAACCAAATTTCTTCCTTACTTTGGTACATATATACCTAAGAGTAGAAATTTTGTTTATTATGAACAACCATATTTGGTGATTTACTGATTCACTCACAAAATCAATACATATTTATGACTACATTCCCTCAGTATTCTAATTTGTATTGACAGTTAAATTTGTCAAGATATATAGAATTTATATTGTTTTTATAGCTATGTTTTTATAGTTGTTCATTTGCACATTTAAATCTTTCTGTAATTTATTCAGTTCTTCTATGAGGCTTCCACTTTTGGTTTTTTCTCTTTAGTACTTAACTAAATTTTCAGACAAGATTTTGGAGAATAGTTGGAATAAAAATGGGTTAACATGTTATTAAGTGATAAACTTTTCAAGTCATCTAGTCTTTGTTTTATCTATTCATTATGCTTATGATTAATGCTATGGTGGTTAGTTATAAGATCATTAATCAAAATTTCCTTCATTCAGAATTTAGACATTTATTCTTGGGAAAACTTGTATTTCTCAAATGCTGCAAAACATGAAATCTTAGTTGCTTATGTTGTATTTACTTTCAGTGTTTTAATCTCATTCCATTTCCTCTTCACAAACCTGTAGGTATCAAGGAAGAGAAGGTGGAAAGATAGCAAGAGTCAGAGGGCATGGAGGACACCAGGAGAGCAAGACCTTCTTAATTAGCTGAGCAAGGCACATAGGAGCTCATGGAGACTGACCAGGTCCTCTGAGTATATATTATAGCTTTTAGCTTAGTAATTTTTATAGGACTCATGATTGTGAGAATGAATGGGTTGCTGAATCTTTTGCCTGCTCTCGGGTCTCTTTTCCTTCTGTTTGCTTACGGCATTCAACTTTGATATGATAGTTCTTGCTTTTTCTTATTATATTTTATTTTGTCATGTTTCTTTGTTATCTCTTAAATTCCTGTTCTTTTCTAATTTGATACAGGAAAGTAGAAGAACTGGAGGGCATGGGCGGTGGGGAGGACCTGGAAAAGTAAAGGGAGGGGATTCTATAATCAGGATGTATTGTATGAGAATAAATTTTAAAAAATAATCTACATCCAATTAAAAAGACAAAAAGACAAAAATATACTCTCTCATATTTCATCAGACAAATCTAAAGTGTAATACAAGTGACTTTTTATATCTAATGTAGTATTAATCTAAAATCGAATTAAAATAAAATTCATATATATGTAATATCATTTGGACTATGCAGGTTGTATTTAGAGATATGTATGTGCATATCTCTAAATATATACATGCAATAACAATATATACATGCAATAACAATTAATGAAACTAGGCAGTGAATTTGAAAGAGAGCAGTAAGGGGTATATGGCAGGGATATGAGAGAGGAAAACAAAGGAGAGAATGATGTAATTATATTATAATTTCAAAAAGTAAAAGAAAAAGAAACCCTACCCAGCATGTCTTTATGTATAGAATCTTTACCTTTGTATGTAACCTTCATCAATTTTGAATTTGAAAATGTTCATATTAACTCAATTGGTATATTTTGCAGACTTAAGTTGGTATGTTTTAAAGTTTTTGAAGGGAGCAGAAATAATGGAGAAGAACTCAGAAAACCTAAGCAGATTATCTTTCACAAGTGAGGGTTTATGATTTCAATTCATATTATTTGCCTGTGTTTCATTATGGGGGAAATTCAGGCTTTTAACTTTTATGGAACATTTGAAATTTTGTATGCTAGAGTTTTAAAAATTTCTAATTTTCTAGAAACTCTAATACAAGAGAAAATAATTCAGATAATTTGTAGGATATTGCAATGCTGCAGACCTACCACAGCCTGGGTTCAGGTCCTGAGACAGGGAAGGGGCATTGGTGGAGGAATTGTCCAACTACCAGATGAGTTTCACACATGTGGCTGGCCCTGAATATCTTGAGCTGACTTTATTTCTACTTCAAAAACAAGCATGTTTTCCCCACTCCCCATCCAGCATTAGCCTCTGGTAGAAACAAATATGTCAAATATGTTTTTCCCCGACCTTTACATTAAAACAACTTTTAAAGCAAAAGCAACTGTTCAGTATTTTGCTAGCTTGGCTAAATATTGAGTCAGGTACATCCTGTCTTTACCAAGCTAAAAGGTGATAAATGTAGGTACACATTCTCAAGAACTGCAATGCTATCAAAACTTAACAAAGCATATTTATAGAGACAGAGGTGATTTGTCATAAATTGCTTGCATGCAATTAGCTTGTATTTCTCTAAATTTTTCCTTATCCTACAAAAGGGTCCTGCATACTTTGCTGAGTGAGAGACTATCTCCATGGGTCTTGCCTCATGGAGAACTGTTGGAGAAGCACTCATATGCTGATCTGAAACTAGATTACACAGCTCCCCAAAATACAATATGTTGTATGCTTTCAATTTTTCCCTTTCCTTTTCTGAAACAATGACAGAAATTCAAACTATAAAGGGGAGAGACTTTGAAGTCAATTAACACACCCTCTCACACTTAGCCATAGCTAAAGAAGAAACACACACCAGTTACCTTCAAGGTCAAGATATTGGCTTAGGATTGAGCCTGGTGGCACAGGCTTATACTCTCTGCTACTGAAGAAAGAGGATTGAAAGTTCAAGGCCTGACGAAGCAATTCAGTGAGTCCATGTCTCAAAGTAAACAATGACTGGGCTTATTACTCAGTGTTCCAGTACTTTCTAAACATGGGTGAGATCATAGGGTCTGTCTCCAGGATTGCAAAAAAGAAGAAACAGATAACATATGTCTATTTCTCTTCATATTTCAGTTGTGGGTTAAAAGACCATGGACAGATGGCAAATGCAGACTCTACTTTGGGTTCAGGTCTCCATGAACAACTGGAGGAACCCAGACACTGACCAATGTGTATCTTTGCAAGAAAGGTGTAAGAAAGTAAGGGCGGGGTTGACCAAGAAGAAGTGAGGCCAGAGTCTGAAGGCTGTCTCCTGTCACTCTCCCACCTGATATTAGTCTGTGTCAAGTGGATACTGGAGATATTTTATTCAGTTTTGCATTGCAATTGATTTTTCTCTGTTTGAAAGTAGATCTTACCATTTTAAACAAGAAAATTTGAATTGGGTGTGTTCTTTTAGTACAAGGCCATTGTAATAGTGGTTTTCTGCACCTTCCATGTCCACCTTTCATGAATGTTGTCTGAAAAGGATGGAAGATTGGCACAATCTTACTAGGAGACAATTGGGTAGTATGGTTTATTAGATTACTATGTCTAAACATAAAGAATACTCCACACGAATCATAATAGAAAATTCTTATTCTTTGATATTTTGCCTAAAGCAATAGTGATTGATTGTCTTCATAATATTGTTGACATAGAAAATCTTGGAAAACATGAGTAATAGATATTCTAGATTATTGTGTACCCTTTGAATAATCATCATGTAAAATGTAACACTGACAGAATACATTACTGAAACATTTTACAATGTTAGTTTTATGCTATACAATTATACTTAAAGAATATATACACATGGTGTGCTTAAATGGATATTAAAAGGATTATGTGTCATATTGGTAAGGCTTCCTACCTCTTCTTTAAGGATACTTCAAACTAGGTATCAAGAAAGAAAGAAAGTGCCATAAGTGAACACAGTAGAAAACTTATATAGAAAAGCATGTGATTATTAAAGCCCATGGTAATTTCATTCATGGTTTAAACTGTGATGCCTTGGTAAACACAAAAAGATGACTGTAGGTCCTTATGGAATCATGGTTCACTTTAGTGTTAACAGTTCTGTTATGATTTCAATGGATAATGTTAGCTTTTAGGGCTCAATTGAGCTAGATAATTAGTATGACACCCACCCATACTCTGTAAAACAGGTCACATTCTGTCTTGGAGTCTTTTTGCTGATGCTTATGATTTATTGAACCCAATACATTTAGGGCATTGAGTAAGGAATTGATTGTTTTGGCATTACTGTAGTGGCCCTTGCTTCCCAGTTACTTACCATATTCCAGCCCTAGAATCCAAAACTGGGGAACCACATCTGCCTCTAACCTAGCTACTTCAGTTCCTGTGCCAAATCTAGTCCCACACATGGACAAGAAGAAATCCCATCTGAATTCTCAACTAGTGGCAAATGCTTTTGATGGAAGCCAGAGCAGATGAGGACAGCAAATACGTTATGAGTAAAGTTTCTTAATGTCCTACAGGTCTGGCAGGGTTTCACCTCTAGGCACCCCTGGAGAGTGCTTAGGAGCATAAAGTAGGATCTTACGCAATGGACTAAGATGTATTAGTCATATTTACTTACCTTATAAAACCAAAATTATATCCCTCAATTGTTTTCAAGACAGCTGCTGCTAGTGTATCTATCCCTCTGGGTACTCTCAGACTTGGGTTATATTTTCTCAACTGGTTGGAACAGTTTAGACCCTGGCTACCACATTGCTATACTACAGCAAACAAATTATTCAAAGCTTATTATTACTATGATTCACCACAGAGGGAACTTCAGATTTAGGAAATTCCCAATGTTGTAGGGAATGGAAAACTTTGGAACTGTATCATAACAAATTTTACCAAGAAGCCAAGAGTTTAGATAGAGAGTTGGTTTTGAAACATTGGTGGGAAAACTGCTTCTTAGAATAGTATGTACTGGATTGGAATGGAGAATACAGAAAGGCAGACATCTTTGATCTAAATAGAGAATTTAGATCAAATGACACCAGTACAGAAATAACACTTTTACATTTAATGCATATGCTACAGACACATTATATTTATAAAGATCATATGACACAGAGTGTAGTCCTTTCCACTTTAATTTTTGCTATCATTATGCATTTATTTCTTTTTAAAGCTAGATTTGTTAGTTAGGCAAAGGGTTATTAAACTTCTTGTCTGAAAAGGCCAGGTGGTAAATGTTTTGGGTATTTTGGATCATGAGGACTCTGTTGCAACTACTTGGTGTGGCTGTTGTAGCCCAAAGCAACCAAAGACAATATGGACAAATGGATCTTGCTCTCTGAATTTACATTTCCCAAATCTGTAGGGCAACAGATATTGCATGTAGGCCATTCAAAAGTACCAGTGATCGATAGTTTACAATATTAATCTCTGTTATATCTTTAGTACCACTCTAAACACTTAGAATTATGCATTGTATTATGTTACATCTTAGAGTTTAAAACCTCAACATACTAAAAATCCTGAGATGTTTTTTGAGGTGACATAAAATTCAACTCTCTTATCTACAAAGATGACACCAGCTAACAATCTAAGCAACAGAGGAGAGGCTACCTTAAATGCCCTTCCCTGATAATGAGATTGATGACTGACTTACATGCCATCCTATAGCCTTCATCCAGCAGCTGGTGGAAGTAGAAGCAGACACCCACAGCTAATCACCGAACTGAACTGGAACCCAGATAGAGAAGGACAAGTGAAGAGCACAGGGGTCCTGACCAGGCTGGTGAAACCCACTGAAACAGCTGACCTAAATATAGGGGAACTCTTGCTCCCCAGACTGATAGCTGGAATACCAGCATGGGACTGATCCAGACCCCAGGAACATAGGCTTCTGTGAGGAAACCACTGAAATCTACAGGACCTCCTGCAGAAGTTCAGTACTTATCCCTAGCATAGGTGTGGACTTTGGGAGCCCATTCCATATAGAGGAATACTCCCTGAGCCAAGACACACGGGGGGGTGGGCCTAGGCCCTATCCCAAAGGATACAATAGACTCTGATGACACCCTATGGAAGGCCTCACCATCCAGGAGGAGCAGAAAGGATATGTGGTAGATAGGGTTTTAGTTGGGGTGGTGGTGGTAGGGGAGGACGGATGGGAGAAGGGAACAGGGACTGTCACGTAAATCAATCCTGCTTCTAATTGAAATAAAAAAGTTGAAAAAAATATACACAGGAAAATAAAAATAATTCAACTCTCTTCTTGCTTAGTCTATGAGTAATTTGAGAGCCACTGGATGCATTCATGTGTTTCTATTCTAGAAAAAGAATCCATAACCTTCTTTGTCTAGGAAGTACTTGAGCATCTATCTTTATGGGACAGTGTCAAATCTGGGTTTCATAAAGGAAGCTTCTCTTCAGATATCGGTTGAACATAATCACACCATCTCCTAAATTACTGTTAAAATCTAAGGACCTTATTCATAACGATAAAAATTCTTGGACATTGTGAAATTAGGGATCTTTATAGGCTAACAGGGATTCTAAGAGATAGTGACAGCTTGGGCCACCCTCCAAAGGTCTGTTCTTAAAACTCTTGTGGTCAGGATGCTACTTTTCAGAATAGATCAGTCCATTTACTTTGAAGATCATTGATTTTCACTGGCCTACTCTGGCATTCATGTTTATTATGTATTTGAATCTCTTTTATAACAGAAAGTTTTTGTAGCCAAACACTATACTGATAATTGGCTCTATAATTTGTCAATTAATACCAGTATATGGAAATGTCATAGAATCTGAGTGAAAAAGGATTTATAATTTTATATATTTATAAAAATGTATTTATAAAATATGTGTATATTTTTTTACTCCATGTAATATTGTGGGAATTGCCAAATTTATAATAATTTTTTACTCTGGTGGATATTTCACAGTATGTAAATAATTATCAAAATAAAGAAAGTTATTACTTGCTTAATTTTATAATAAAATATTTAAAATAAATTTTACTGAAAGACACAAGGAAGGTCGTTTTCCTGTTAACCTTTCAGAATTTTGACTAAAAGAAAAATGGACATAATTGTAAATCTGACCTTCATAAATGACTTTAAAATCTGTGAATTATAATTCACTGTATATGTTTATAATGGAAACTTGGAAAATGTAGCATGACGAATATACAGAAGTGGTGAGTGTGATTATACTCTATGCAGTATTCTGTGTCTCAGAATACTGTATCATCTGATTTATACTCTGTTCATATCCATTGGCAGCAGAATGAGTGTTTGGTTGCTTATTATCAATAATATAGAGAAATGCTTTATTAGTGGATTGTATAAAGATACTAATCAAAGTGTGTCTATATTTTAAAAACCCATTATATTGATGATTTTAAAATTGATGCCAGTGATTAAAATAATTAACCTTCCAAATCCCTCTATTTTGTCAAATTTCCTGAAACCTGACAAACTTTGGTGTATGACTTACATCCAAAATATAACATAATGTAAATGCATTTTAACATTATATTAAGCATTTTCTCTTATCTTACAAACAACAACTACATTTTTAATTTTCTGATAGGGTTAGAAAATTATAAAATGTTTACTTTCTGTGTCCTTAAAGAAGTAGTTTATTAACCCTGATTTTATGTTATTTCTGTCATTTGCGTTTCCTTTTGACGCATGATATGTGTTATATATACCTGAAGTATATATCCATACATGTGTGTATACATGTATATATAAAGTTCATGTACATAACTATATGAAACACAAATGATAGTTATGTTTGAAGTGCATGATTATCATTAATGCTTTGACTGCAGTATAAATCGCATAAAAATGGCACAGAAGGCTTCCAGCATTAAAGGAATTCACTGCTTGCTGTGTTCCTTACTGAGTTCCAATGATCAAGAACTGCTACCTTCTGTCATTGGTACTATGCCCAGTCTGACAGGGGAGCACATTTTCATGTTAAAATGTTTATAAAAATGACAGATGCTGATTGTAAACACATGAAGTGAAGTTTAATTACTTCATCAGTCTGAAAGCCTGTGTGGACTCAAAACAGCAGAATTAACCTTGAGGAATGAAAAATAAACTCAAATTTTGCCTCTTGATGATTGGGTGGCCTACCATATCTATGAAAAACATTATTCATGCAACAGCAAATGTAAATAAATATAAAGTACACAGTTTGAAGCATGCAAAGAAAGATGGCAAAGGATGTTCTTATGTTGCTAGAGAAACAAAGTTAAGTGCACCCTTGTTGTCAGGAAAAGCTGAATACATGTCTAATACGAATCCATGAAGCCAGTGTGTGGCATCACTTAGGCTTTTGGTCTGTTTTTCACAGAAGGAAGAGAACCTTGGAAGACTACAATGAAGAATTATGCATTGTCTGACAAAGGTGTTTTAAGAAAAAATTTCAGGTAGGTATTTGGAAGTTGCTTCAATTATTCCAATTCGAAGAAAGGCCTCCAATAATAATTCACATTCTGAAATATGATTTAAAAAGGACTTTAATGAATTTCCACAAAAATCCTTTATCTTGTTCCCAAGATATTTATGAACCCATTTCTTCATTGAAACAGTACAAGTTATCAGCAAGAGGAATAATTTGTCCTTAATTGGTTAAGAACAGGAGTAGAGGCAAATTAACAGAAATCTGAGTATATAGTGTGGAGAATAACCATGTGTGCAGAAGATGCATATTCATAGCATAGTTTATATGAGAAACATAAGATGTTACTGTTCATTGCTGTGGCAGTCAGTAATTGTTTGACTGTGTCCTTTAAAAGTGTTGATCCTTAATGGTCACTGTGAATATTAACATACATGGTCTTTATGAGAGGCAGAGCAATTAAAACCATCTAGGTCAGTGGACTGAAAGCCCTTCTAACAGATGCATCATGGATATTTGGGATTTTGTCTGGACTTTCTGTCTTTCACTTACTATCTCTGCCCCCAAAGTCTTTTCCTTTCCCTCCTGTATTGCCTGGTGCCTGTGGAAGGCTTTGGATCCCTTGGAACTGGTGTTACAGCTGGTTAACCATCCACTATGTGGATGTCACATCTTAAGATGTGTGGGAACACATTCTTGTTCTCTATAACCAAGTACTCAGAAACACTAAGCAGTCTCTCCAGCCCCCATCCTCAGGTATTTTATTGTAGCCAAAACTAAGACATGGGGCATATGTAGGTAGAGTTTCCTTATTTTGTAAAAAAAAAAAAAAGGCAATAAAAATATCCAGTACTTTTTTATGATGAAATTTTACTTTTTATCTATAAGAATCTTCTGAATATATGTATATTATGGTACATATATTTATGATATAGTTATCAAAGTTAAATCAAAACAACTCTTTAAAGCCTATGGCTTTTTATTGTAATTTAATGCTAAGATTTATTACTGAAAATATCATTTTATAAAATGATATCCTTAAAAATATAGGTATCAAATATGCCAGGTTTGCCTTCCCTATATGCATATACAAAACCACTATTCAATGAAACCCCAGTCACCCATTTTTCAGTTTGCATTGCTGCTTCCTTGGTTATGCCACAATTAATAACTTATTGTAGTTCCTTATTGTTTTATCTTTTCAATGTAGTTTCTTATCTTTTCTCTTTATTATTTTGATGTAGGAACACTAAAAATTTCTGAGAAAACCTAGTAACCAATTTGCTTGTCTAATTCACCAGAACTTAGAATTCCAAAAATAGAATAGATTGCAGAGAACTGGAAGATGTGTTGTCTTGTGATGAGCTAGGAACGCTGTTTTCATGGGGCTCTGCCCTTCTCTTCTTCATGCACCCCGGGATAGGTGCTGGTGGTTGAGTTTGGAAGCATAAACCTTTTCACTAGACTTTGACTCAGAAAACTCATTGAGCCCTTCATGATCTTCGAAACTCTGCCTTGTTATGGTTAGTAATGCCGGTTCAAATGGACTTGACTTCTGACATTTAGTGTTAGGAGCTACATTTGTCCTTGGGAATAGCAGCCACTCTCTAATACACACTTCATGCCAGTGCTGCATTAACTCCCATGTGCATTTCTGTGTTGTTTTGTTTCCTAATTGTTCATAATGTGAATAATAGTGCGACGTACTGGTTCTCCTTGAAGCCCTACCAAGCAGTACTGATAATGTTCGTTTTGTGTCCAAAGGAATAGGGCTAAAACAAATAATTCCAGAAGGAGTGATACAAAACTTGCTGTTAATTATTTAAAATACTGTGATATCATATTTCTTTGCTTGATGATGGTAAAGATTTCTGAGTAGTGGTTAACTCAGACTATGAATCTTGCCAAATCAGAATGACACCCCTACAGTAGAATTACAGAAAATAGATGAAATTATATTCAAGAGATAGTGATTAAATGTTTCCCTTTTGGTAGTATCATGGTTTTAAAGACATACCTTTTCATATAAGTGAGTGGGTTTAGAGAAAGCAGCATATATTACTGAAGTGTAATGCACTATAGACTAGATTAATTGTAAATTAGCAGTTCCCATAATAGAAACTCTGTCTTCATGTGAAAGTGAATTTTTCAAAAACTTTATTGATGCTTACAAAAGATAATTTAAAAGGAAAATACCATTACTTTAGGAGCACATTGCTAATTACAGAATTTATGATATCATGCTGCATTAAACATGTCTAAGATTTATATATGCTATACACAGTGGTTAAAATAGAGGTGAGGCTTTTCCAGGCATAATTCAATAATGAGAAAAGCCCATGCTGTGTCCTGTTATAGAACAGAAAATGTCCTGCTGGTGTCTTTGCCAGAGATGAATGCAGCATGCTGCATCCCAGTGTGGCATTTCTTCGGGTTTAGTAGGCAGGTAAGGAATGGTGGCTAGTGCACAGTTTGGTGTTTGCTCAGGTTCCTTTTCAATTTCTTCCCACATGGCTTTGCCTGCAACAAGACACCCTCTTATATTCAGTGCACAAACTTCAGAAACCTTTCATGCCAGAACTCTCACATCCTTCCCTTCTAGTTTTCTCATCACATCAAGGGTCCTATACCAACCTAGAATTGCAATCACTATTGACTTTGGTTGTGTATTCTACTTGCAAAATTACACAAGAGGGCAATTATACCACATTCATTTTTACACATTTCATATTACTTAGCAGCTGCAATCAGCCCAAAATTATTGAGTTCATTTTGCTATTAATGCCTAACAACTGGATTTAAATTTCTATATATATTATATATATATATATATATAATTAAAGGAAAAATTTAGAACTTTTTTAATAAGTACAAATTATATGTAGATGATGAGAAAAGTCTCTCTTTGCTTTTTATTTGGTATGTTAATTAGTGGTGACTTATATATGATAGTTCTTCCAAGGTTAATTTATAATTTAATCCAATACAAGTGAGTTACTTGATGAAATTAAACAAATTTATACTAAATATGTACAAATAAAACAAACTGATAGCCATGGAAGCAGCCAAAGAAATCAGTTTGGGAGAACCTATGGTTTCAGACTGTAAAATGGATCATAAAGTTTTCAAAAATGAACAGCAAGGTTCTGGGATATTAACATACAAACATTTCAGAAACTGAAATTGAAATCCCATACAACATAGATCTGGAAACAGAAAATCTTCCATTGAGTGTGCTGGACACCTGGCTATCTATTCATAGGCAGATAAAATTAGAGATACTTCTCATATCACATTCAAAAATATAAATCATGTACAAGAATAAGTCATGCAAATATGAGATAGAAACACAGAGGAATTTCTCTATTCACTATACAAAGACTTTCTATATGTGACTCAAAATATTAAATTCATTATTAAAAGACTGACAAATTTGACTATATAAAACATACTCATAAAGGAATCAAAAGATATGACAAATTAGAAGAAAATCTAATTATAAAAACAAACAAAAAAACATTTGATGAGGACTAGCAAGATAGGTAAGTGAGTAAAGTGTTTCTGTCTAGCTAATGATCTGAATTCATTCTCTGGAATCCACTTGGTGGATAGGGATAATTAATTTCTAAAGATTGTCCTCTGATCTCTGGTATGAATTGTGGCATATAAATGTGTTTACACATCAACCTCCCAATAAATGTTTATAAAGTGATTGGTTGAATTCAGATTGAAAGACTTTCTTCAAAATAATTATTTACTATTCATTCAATGTGTTGAGGTCCTTAAAAAGCAAAGAAGAATTCAGAAACAGATTGGAGAAATAAATAAAGACCTATGGTTTAGCATTTATTGTTTTATTAGTTTTTGATATTCTGGTTTGACAATTTTATAATGTGTTCACACATTATTAATATTGAGAAAGCCAGATAAAAGATGTATTTGAAATTTCTTTTTTTTTTTTAGTTTTCTGAGCATCTAGAATTTCTTAAGAGTTTATTAAAGGAATTATAAAGGCTTATGTAAACAAAAAATGAGTGTGGAGTCTGGATAAGGAGTTAGGAAATAGGAATGATCATGTTTCAATGTATACTTATATGAAAATTTCAAGAATAGACTAGAATTTTGAATTACCAAAAATATACAAAGCTTATGTGTATTATTGTAGTTGTATTCTAAAATAAATTATTGTGTAGCCCAACCAGCTTGTAGGATGAACCAAGAAAGATTAAATACTGGTGTCTTACATATATATATGTACACACACACACACACACACACACACACACACACACACACACACACATCTCTGTATTAAAAGGGTAAATACCAGCTTTACATAGTCATTACTTCTGCAGGCATGGAAAAGAAGTAGGAGTTAAAGGGCACCCAGAAAATTCCCATTCAGTGCAATGTCTAATTACCTAAGGCACACTGGGTAAGTATGCCAAGATTTGGGATTTTATGAATTTGGGCATGGGTACATATGCTAGGTCTTTTATCCTTGATTACTCTGTATAAAATATATTAAAATAAAAATGTCATGAATTGAATAGGCTCTTTTCAATGAGGAAATGAAAACTCTGTCTAACCCTATTCCTATTGGTACTATAATAGAAAGTCTAAACTACTAATATTGATATAATTTTATATTTTTTCTTTGAATTTTATACTAAGCAAATTGTTTTATTTAAAATATTCATATGTAAAGGCAGACATAAAATGCTTCAGTCTATATCAGTTATTTGGTGAGGTCATACACTTTTTGTGTTTGGTAAAGCTTACCTAGTATTTTTTTTATAAAGTTGAACTAACATGTAAAGTTGGAGGTATTTGGAAATTCAGATTTTATTTTTGCTTCCTGTGAAAAGAAAACAAAGAGGCTTGTAGGGGGTGTTGTAGCCATGCCTACTTAGGGGCTGGCTACATGTGTGCCCTATCTGTAATGGCTCTGTACTGAGAGCAAGAGCTGAGCAGGCAGGATGCCTAGTCTCTGTGGCCTCTACCATTATTTCCAACTACATTTTGTACCTTCCTTGGTCAATTATTAGCTTGATTTTTACCTACTTGACCTTGTGACTTAGAAGTTTAACATGTCTTCACTAAGGATGAAACATTTACTCTTCTTCCTTTGGAAAATCTGTCTCTGTCTCTGTCTCTGTCTCTGTCTCTGTCTCTGTCTCTGTCTCTCTCTCTCTCTCTCTCTCTCTCTCTCTGTGTGTGTGTGTGTGTGTGTGTGTGTGTGTGTGTGTGTGTGTGTGTGTGTGTGTGCACATACATGTGTAGGGAGAAACCCTGATTATAGGTATCACTGACCACGACCACTTGGGCATGGTCAGTTATGTAACAATGGTTTAAGAAGGAGAGAGGCAAGCATGCTCTCTCTCTCACTTCCCAGTTGACTGGGAAGCATTTCTGGGTCCTTCCTGCTCAGGTGCAAACCTGGTCACTGGTTTCATTGTGTGAGTATTTTCCCCCAATAAACTACCGGTTATCAACCTATCTCTGACTCCACTTTGTAATCATCAATATACATGGGTGCATGTGTAAGTAGTTTTTAGAACAATATAATCTGAAGCTTCTTCAAGTTAATTTTTGTAAGTATTCTTAGCGCATATATTACTATTATCTGAAAATAGAGTAGTTTCAGAAAACCATGGTGTTGTAAGGCCAATTTGTTCTTATTTTCAGTGTGTGTGTGTGTGTGTGTGTGTGTGTGTGTGTGTGTGTGTGTGTGTGTTTGCTTGTGTGTGTGCAGGTGCCCTTAGAGTCAAGAAGAGGCCATTGGAGCTAGAGTTACCTAATGTTGGTGCTGATAACTAAATTCAGGCCCTCTGAAAGTACAGCTAGTGCCTTCAGTCACTAACACCATCTCTCTAGACCCTATAAGTCTAAGTAAGCAACACTTTTCAAGGAATGCTGAGATTGGGAGAAATAGTCTTCTGTAAGGAACAACATACCGATTGGTAATCCAAAACCTGAAAGAATAAACAAAAGTAACACAGACTGACCACGTTATATTTATCTATTTAAGAATGTATATATAATATTCATTTTACACACACACACACACACACACACACACACACACACACATTCACATGTATGTACCAATAATTAAGTAGAAAAGAGGTCATGGATTTGTAAGACAGCTGGAGGCTATACAGGAAGTCTTGGAGAGAGAAAATGGAAGGAAGAAATAATGTAATTACATAATAATCTCAAAAGATAAATGAAATTATTTAAAAAACAGCTGAAATATCAAAAAATACATGAAAACATTATATGCAAATAAACAAAGTCAACTGCATGCCTCTTATTATGTATAGGTGTAGGATTATCTAATTAACTCAAACTATAGATCATGCTTTCTTCATTCATCATCTATCTTTCCTCTTCCTTTTTTCTATTAGCATATTTGACACAGTATTACATACACATAACTGAACTCTAATGAAAACTAGTCTGTAGCTTATTAATTCAATAATATACTATTCTTTTAGCCATATTTTGTCAAAGGAGCATTTGAGGTAGGTTAGGTTTAATTCTGATGTCATTACTGATCCACAGTATGAGGAATACATTACATGCTTGACATGCTGTTATTTCTTGGAGTGACAATAAATTCAAAAACAGCCTCAGATTTTGATTTATTTGCTCCTTTCTCTTTTTTTGTAATTTCCTTTTTTGTTCTCTTCCCTCCCCACCCCCAGCTTTATTTTATTACCCTAAGTAATAAAACTGTGGTCACATGGAGTGGCAGTTACAAGAATTCAGGTCTTAATGTGCCAATAACCTCTGGTGACCTGCTGAGACCAGAGATCCTGAGACCAGCCTCAGCAGATGAGAAGGCACCCCTGGGAGCAGGCAGCTCCTGGTATTCCAGCTCTGCTTCTGATATTTGCATTTCTGACAATCCCACAGTCTTTTTTTTTTTTTCCTTCTTCCAAGTCGCATATGTTAAGTATTAGTCTTCTGGTATAAAGGACAACTATTTTCTACACTCTGGTCTTGTTTCTAAGGAGCTGTGTGGCACATACAATGATTGGCACTTACAGGAACCAAGGTCTTGACATGCCAATAGTCTTTTGTGGACCTTGTCCCTGAGGCACCGCAAAACTGCTCCCAACCTGACCTGGACTTCAGACTACAGCTAAATAATCAATTCCTTGTTTCTTATTTGTACTTTGTGATTATCCTTTTTTGTTGTTGTTTGTTTTGCTTTGATTGACAGGAACCACATGTGTTTTCTGGTTTGGTTTTCTTAACACTCCCTTATGTGAAGCTTGGATGAGTGCAGCTGGCTCAGAGCCTGCCAGCTATGTGGGTGACTCCAGCACTGAAGTTTTGTGAGTATCTGTTGAACTAAAATACAGAATATTTGCTATTTGAACTCTTAGGTATTATGAACAGATTTTGATCAGTTTACTGAGGTTCAGTATATGTGCCTTAGAAATATTCTAATAGAGTCCCAACTCTGCCTTCATGATAAGGAGAATGAGGTGAAGTGTGTTTGGATAATTTTCCCTGTTGGGTGAAACAAACTTATTAGTAGTAATAGCAATGGAAAAGTTTTTGAAGAAAAATGCAAAAATAAATATAAGCAACTTATTCCCACACCCATCTCAACGTCAATGAGACGAAACCACGTTTGTTCCAAATGGTTGAAAATGAGCAAGTTTTAGGTCAGAGGAGCCTGCCCTTTTGACATAACGGTGAGTTGTTAGGCTGTATTCGTATCGATCCTGGTACACAGGCAGCTCACATGTCACAAGTTGGACAGGCCTGTACATAATCGCCTAAGGAGGAAGGTCACTTTTGGGGCCATTCCTCAGTTTTCAAGTACTGATGAGATGAGGATCTAGCTTGACAATAGGCAAATCATTTTGCATGATGTCACTTGATTACTTTTTTTTTCAGAATAGTGAATCATATTTATCATTTCCATATCTATCTATCTATCTATCTATCTATCTATCTATCTATCTATCTATCTATCTATCTATCTATCTATCATATCTATCTTCTATTTATTACCATTTGTGTATGTATCAATCTAAAAGGATTTAGTATGGGAGCTGAATCCTGTAATTCTGGAATCTGAGATATACAAGATACACTTTCTGTAAGCTGAGAATGAAAGTGTGGGTGGTAGGATTCTGTCTCTAGTTTAATCTTGATTATGAAGATCTAATGGTATAGTCCCCATTGGGATCACACCCTCAGTTAAGATTAATGTAGTCCCAATGGGACACCTAGTTAATTCTCACAAGGGTTTGTTCAAAGGGCTGAGGTTGGCCCCACCTAGCTCTTTGAGAATCTGTGTCATACCCTTTGGAATTTCAGTTTCCAAAATACTTTCCTAAATAAAGTTCTTTATAGCTTTGTCTATCTGTGGAATTTACTTCTAACACAGGATGGATCTGATTGTCTGTATCTTACCAACTTAAATATTAATCTCTCAGAAAATAGTTTTGCCAACCATCTGGGTATCCTTTAGTCTATCAATTTGACATATAATATTAAGCCTCAAAATATTCTCTTGATCATGTGAAATGCAGTGTACCACCTCCAGTCTCCAAATAAAGATAAAAGTTACGATTCTGCCTCACATATGAAACAAAGAACTCATACAGAACTGAAAACACACCAGCATGTTTGCCAGAGGAGGAGGAGAAGTCAAATAACATTTGCTGTTCTGGTATCCTGTAACTTAAATGTTTTAATGGAAATTAATACTTAGATGCTTATGTAAGGTAAATACAGCTTGTGTTACATAACACGAGAAAGGAGATAAACCTGGCATTTTTTTTACAATAAACTTGTATATACATATACATACTTAACTAAATAGAGAAGTGATACATTTAGCAATGATCTTGCTCAATTCTGCAACTAGTCATGTGGTGATAACTTTCGTGTATAGTTTTATATATTTTGTATTCCTCTTGTCTTCAGTGAATACCTCACATGGTCATGATTCTCTTGTTCCTAGTAGAGCGATCCAAAGTTTTGACAGCCCATCTTAATCACAAGACATGGAGTTGCTAAGAGACACTTGCCATATGGACATTCCATATTCCTGGCTTCCTCTTCTTTGCTTTCATTGAGGTATACTTCAATCTCCCCTTGGTAGTTAGAATGAGATGTTATTCTGTATATTTTTCTTTTATTGTTTGGTGAATAAAACACTGAATGGGCAGGCAGGAAGATAGGAGAGGAGGAGAATTCTGGGAAAGGTAGGTGGAGTGAGCCTGCTGAACAGAGTGAGGATGCTGGAGGAGAAACACCATGCCAGGCATTACCAGGTAAGCCACAGCCTTGTAACAATACATAGATTGATAGAAATGGGTTAGTAATTAAGACAGAGCTAGACAATAAGAAGCCCTAACTAATGGCCAACAGTTTTGTAACTAATATAACATCTGTGTGTTCATTTGAGGCTCAAGGACCGTGGGACCAGCAGGGACAGAAAACTACTATAACACTCAATACCATCATTCCCTAGATGGTGTTCTGCCTCAAAGTAGATGTAGCTTTAACTTCCAGTTCAGTAAACTCATTGTGCTTCTAGAAAGAGCTTTCCTCTATCAAGATCCTAACAGAGCAGAGCATGGGCTTGTGAGAACAATAGACAAGTTTGCTTTGGATTCCTCTAGGTGTTGCTGAGTGGTGCTACTCTCATTTCCACTTGATTCCCATGTCTTTGTATCTTACCTGTTGGAGAAATGGTGCTATGTAGTGTATGTTGGAATCATAATATACACAACATAGGGACAGTCTTTGTAGAAATTTACAGTAGGTGTATAAAGTAATTCTACTCAGGTGGCCCTATGCAACTAATCTTCAACAAGCTATTTCATTGGTCTATCAGCCCTTTTGGTTTGGGATTTTAGGGAACAAAATAAGAAAAGTGAATCCTTTGAACACGTGACTATTGTCCTATTCCCTGAGTTCCTTGATCAGAGGCACAGCTGTATGGAATATGATACTGGTGTAAGTTAATGGCTGGAAATTTTGGTGGAAGCAGTACATATAAGGCAGGAAAGTCTAAATCCATATGTCTACTCAGTAAGAATTTTTCCTCTCTGTGATGGCAGCTGTCTGATGCAATCAACCTACCACCAAGTAGTTGGCTCATCTCCCTTGGGATAATGCCACATTGCAGCTTCAGCATTGATTACTGTTACTGGAATATTGGACAGTTAGTTGTAGCTATTTCAAGTGTGTGCTGCTGAAACCAGGCTTAGCCTCTGCCCTGTCATCTTGGCTGTGGTGATATCTTGTTTATATAAATAAAGTGTGTCTGAAGATGAGAGGGTGGAGTTTGCTGCTAGCTAACCATAGAGGCCAGGCAATGGTTGTATACACCTTTAATCCAAGCACTAGGGAGGTGGAGTCAGGAAGTGAGATGGCTGGGTGGAGAAAGGAATAGAGGCAGGAGGAAACAGCAACTCCATCTCTTTTCAGCAGTGAAATTGGCAAGGCAAGGTGTGGCTGTGGCTTGTTCCTTCAACTCTCTGATCTTTCAGCTTTTGCCCTGTATCTGACTCTGGGCTTTTATTATTAAGACCTAAGAACTCTTGTTATACATAGTTATACTAGTTATAATATTTTTATGTAAGACTTTTTTTCATTTTATATACCAACCCCAGTTCCCCTCCCTCCCCTTCTCTTGCCTCCCTGTCTTTCCCTTCCCACCCAACCATCTATTCCTCATAGGGGGTAAGGCATTCATTGGGGAGTCAACAAAGTCTGGCATACCAAGCTGAGGCAGAATTCATCTGTTGGGGGGTCCCTGTCAGAAGCACCAAGACCTATCCCAGTGGCATGAACTGACTTTTTGAAGTCCATTCCCTATGGTAGGATACCTTGCTGGTTATAATCTTATTGAGTAATAATAGCATCCTGGGCACGGGGCTGACTCCTGTACATAGAACAAATTACCCATCCACTTGATTATTCATATCCTTCTCTGTTGTATAGATCTTTTGGTAAAATATCACATGACATGCCTATTCACATTTTTATTATTGCTATAAAGGACTCTCTTGGTATACTTCATGCAATATGGTTGTTACCAACTTTGCAATTATATATTGTTCAAATTAAAGGCAAAACCAAGCACATTGGCCAAAGTTTTGCTTCTTCCTTATACACCTCTCTCATGATGGGATAAAAGGTGTGAGCTCTGTTACTCTTTTAGACTGATTCACTCTTGTGTAGCAAGAGTGGTTTAGGAGTCACAGGGATCCATCTGCCTCTGTCTCCTGAGTCCTGAGATTAAAGATGTGTACCACCACTGCCTGGCATCTATGGCTAGCTAGTGTGACTAGCTTTGCATTCTGATCCCCAAACAAACTTTATTAAAACATAAACAATATATAACCATATTTGACATTTTCTTTGACTGAGTGATTTGAGTCCTATACCTTGGCTTTGAGACCTGATATTCTCTCTTTTATGTGATCCAATCTGTTCATGAGTCTTTCCTCTGAGTTTTTTTAAATTAAATTACTGATTCTTTTTTGCATTTTGGGTTTCATTTTATTTGACTTTTTCTTCCAACATTCTCTCCTTATTAAATACCTTATTAATACCTTAAATTATTTTTTTAATATTTCATTTAACTGTTCATGTTCTTGTGCTCATCCTTCTGGCATTTGTTCAAATCCTCTTTGGACTTCTTGATCATGTTTATTATTGCTATTTTGAAACTATTGTCTTGTCCATCAAAGTCTCCCTTTATTCAGGGAACATTACTATGGAGGTACGACTTTTTTTGTATAGATCTATTGTCTTGGTTATTCCTGTTTGAACTTTTGCCATATAACCTAGGCATCTGGAGTTAGGTTATTGATAGTGTTTTCAGATATGGAGCCTCTCATTTATTTTTAGTAGGTTGTTTCCTTAGAGTACAATTTTAAGACTTCTTTGCACACTTTGGATGCAAATATTTTTATCATTTATTTTTATTTTGGATTAGTATGCAAAGTCATAGGTTTCATTAAAATCATCTTCAAACAACCCTTGTATTTGCAAATCCTTCTCTCTCTGTTTTCGCTGTTGCCTTACACCCCTTTGTAACCTTCTACTTCCAGTAGCCTCTTATCAGCGTTCATTAGGCACTACTCCTCCTTCCTCCTAACCACTCTTCCCATTGTCATAGCCTCCTTTTAGTTCACAAACTATAGTCACTTTTATACTCTCTAAGAAGTACATAGAGACATTAAAAGTTAAGATTTGTATGAAAGAGAACACATGATTTTCCTTTTTTTGTTTACTTAGGGGTCTGTATCACCTCACTTAGTACAAACCCTTTACCACATGTGAGGAGTTTCCACTCAAGCTTGCTCTTCCACAGAATACTTTAAATTTTAATAAAGCTAAAGCATCACTTCTGTGTATCATAATTTGACATTCCTTCACTTTTTGGGTGATCATTATTTTGATAATTTATTCCAAAGATGTGACAGGCAATGCTACATTCTTTTTGTCTCTTCTGATACACGTTTGCCTCCTGAATGTCACTATCTTTATTCATACAGAAAGAAGGGAGAAAGTTCGTCTATGCTTTTCAGTATCTGTTGATAATTTTGTGGCTGCTGAAGACATGTTTCCTGATAGTTTTAGTAACAGAACAAATAATGTAGGTTGATTTGATAATATACATTTCCTATTGCCTGATAGGGTGCAAGTCTGGTGCTTGATTCCAAATGTTTTTCTCTTTTATCCACATGGTTTCTTATCGTGCATCCTTAGAGTCTAATCCATGCCTGTCAAGTTCATGTCAGCCTGCTGCCAGCCACACCATGTTGATTCCAGCAGACCACTTTGGCACAGCTCCTGAACAGGCTTCCAGCATCTAGTTTCCTTACCTCCTCTCACCACCTTATGATCCTTCCCTGTGGGAACGGCCATTTCGTATATGAGTCACTTGGTAAAGTGTGATAAAGTTGTGAAGGAATGCTTAGAGCCTCTTAACATAGACCACGTATTGGCAATGAGAAGGAATTCAGAAAGCATTCTTCATATTTGTGAATGCAGGAGGTCTGGAATGGACCAGGATACCTGCCATTCGAACCGGAAAGCATTTGGTGACTCCAGTATGGATGATGAAGCCTATTGATGAAGCAGCATCTTAGACCAGCCCATGATAATTCAGTAGACCTGAAATCATCCAATTGCATCTTTTAGAGCATTGCTTCATTGCTGTTTGAGATAATGGATTGGGTAACTGTAGGAATTTCTTTAATTCTTTTGTGAATAACTATTGGTTTAAAAGAAATTTTACAATTATTCTAATAGTATGAAGTTAATGAAAAAATATTGAGTTCTAGCTACTGTATCAATCCTTGGAGACCCTGTAACAATGGCCATCACTTGGAAGCTTGACTCAATAATTTTATTTCTGGGATAAATTACAATGATTTATACTTTCCATGGCAAGCAAAGATCTGTTTTTAATAAACTACATTTAAACATGTGGTTTAATAATAATGAAATGAGTAACTGACAATGATGTACATTCTTTCTGTTGTATTTACTAAATTTTCATAAACATATTTATATGAATAAAAGCAACCTCACTAAGGATTATTAAATACTATGACAACATCTTAGCATTTGGAAGTCCTAGTTACAGATTATTTATTTTATTATGTAAGTTTTAATGATAACAAAATGATGATGGTGTTATCAGACATTGTTATCTGATTAAGTTAAAACAGATATTATGAAGAAAATAAAGTAACAGTGCTTTCCTTAACATTATATTCATAAAATTACATATTTTAACAATGTCTTACAAAGTCAATTGTACTTTTATACATGAAAGCTTTGAAATCATATTTTATATAACTGTGTACATTGGGTTCATGGTCTTATATATAGCTGTGAAGAAATTATTACTTAAATATTTCACATTGGAACTTCAGAAAACAATTTTAATATGAAACATGAATTTTTGTATCCAAAATGCATAGAATTTTTAGATCAGATACAAATACACAACATTTTAGAGGTAACATTCCAGTGCAACTTCCTTCTACTGATTTAGGAAAGAAGGCTTCCTACATAGGCCCATGACTTGACCAAGGTCTTATTAGTGACTTCCGTGCTAGGACAGCAATCTGGTCTCCATGTCTTTATTCATATTTCTGTATGCTTTCCACAAGGCCATGTGTATTACATATGGCACCCAGATTTGGTGGTTTGGAGTGAGAACAAGGGTGTTTCCTCCTCTCAGATTGTATATATAAGCATGGAGTACTGGCAGGAGAGCATACACATAGCTAAACACCCCTGTAAGTGCTTGTAATGATTAATTATGGTGCTTGGGTATGTAGTACTGCAGAGGACTAAAATGTATTACAGGTTTGTTTCTGTTAGTTGTGCAGTTGTCTTACAGACCCTTCTGTACATTTTGATTCCTTCTTAGAGGAGTGAAGAAGCTGCATTATGCAAGCAGATGATCACATTTTGATTTTTCTATTATCTGTTTTGATCTATGGAAGGTTGTTTAACTGCTATGTAGAATATAATAATTAATTTTTTCCTTTATAGTAGGTCATTAGGGCTATTCGTGGATAATTCAATTCTTGGTGTTTATTACCACTTGATCAATGCTGATGTGATGATATTGATAACATTAATAATGACACACCCCACTTTGCCATTTTCCATCCTCCTATTGGTCAGCTGTCCTTTTGCTGGTATTTTATCAGCTTGAATTTTCCTATGGCTTGTCTCCAGGCGTCACTGTCACAACTTTTGTTTCTTTTCCAGGTGAACTCATGCAATCCCACGGATTTTTATTTCTGTGTATATTTCAATAACTTTCAAGAGCTAGCAGATTTTTCACCCCAGGCTTTGAATCTTGATCCTTATTTATAAATAGAATGATAGAGTTTTGGTTAAATCTACCTTTAGTGGCAGCGACAGAGCTGGTGCCAGAGGGAACAGAATTCCTGCTAGGCTGTGGCTTGAGAGGCCGGGCCATTGCCACAGAACCAGGCAGACAATGACAAGTTTCACTTGCTGGCTGAAATAGAAGTAGGTTAAGGCACAGCCACTGTGACAAAGATAAAACAGCACTCTCCCACTAAAGGTCTAAAATAACACGGAAGCATTTCCTGGTAACCAGGTGATGAGGGCAAAGAAGATTTTTTTAGATAAGACTGAGAGAAGAGCTCAGACATCTCTCAGGGTCTGCAGTGAGATCACCTCTCAGTGGAGAGCAGAAACCTGAGGATGTTGTCATGTTGCCAGATGAGAGGTCTTGTAGATTTGTTCAAGGAATAATGCAATCCTTTCCAAATTGATCCCAGGAAACTGAGCTTGGCAAGGGTTGGGGCAGGGATCTGGTATAGATGAGGGGAGCTGAAGAATATGGAATCTATTTGCTTCAGAGAGCAGCATCAATCTGGAGTTATTAAAAGATCTTGGAAGGTATAAAATCTTAGATTAGTCATCATCCATTTGTATACAATCTATGTATGAGTAGCAAATGTTCTGTTTAAATTTTCAGCAGTCTTTCTTATGTAAAGAAATAGCTTTCACTATTAAATAGTGAACATTATGGAAAGAAAATACATATTTCCATTAATAATATACATTCTTGCAGGTGTTATTCTAGATAATCTTCACATATGCCCCTGTATTCACAAACTTCAAATGCTGGAAGCCAGCTCATAAACCCCCAACCAACTTCTAAAATAGATATAATTGAGAAGGTGAGAACAGAATTGTCAAAACAATTTTCTCTGTGTGCAAATTATAAAATATATCATTTAAACAAAGAGTGCTCTTGACTTGGATTTAAAACACTTGTTGTTTCTGCCATGCACCAGTGAGGTATCTGAAACAGGTGATGAAATATTAAATCAAGTGGAAGTTCTAATTAGACTGATGAGATGATGGGAAGGTGTGATGGGAATATACTGTGTATGTTTATCTTATTGATTGTTAAATAAAATACTGTTTGGCCAATGAGACAACAAGTTAGACCGGACTAGGAGTCAAAGAGGGTTCTGGGAAATGTAGTAGAGAAGTGGTGATCCAGGCAGGAAGTGACATAGCAAGGAGACTCATATTTAAGCGAAGGAGAAACAGGAAGGGTCCTTTTTTTCCCTTGCTCCTCCAGCGGCACAATGTGATCCACCAGCAAGGAGGGTCGCCAATAAGGCGTCTGATAAGACAAGTCTTATAAAATATATAGGTTTATGATAGTTAAGACTGAGCTAATAGGTGAGAATCCTAGTCATTGGCCAAGGAGCATTGTACCTAATACAAGTTTCTGTGTATTCATTTGGGCTTAACTTGGGCAGGCGGCTGGTGTAAAGCTCACACGTGGGGGTGAGGCTCAGGCGGCTTTTGGTGGAAAGATTTATCGTAACAAAGGTGAGCCATTTAACAACAACAAAGGTCCACAAACAGAAACAATCCAAATTACATAAAAATAATTTTGGCTTCCCTAATTGATTAACCCCGAGAGTAAATCCAAGGCCTTCTTCCCTGGTATTAGGCATTATGAGTGGGGCAGAAGCTCTCTTGCCAATCCTTAATGCTATTGTCTCTGAGTACCCTTCTCTTTCAGCAAGATGACCTCCTGCATGCTTGGAAGCTATACTCCATATGATCAGAACAGAGGCTGTCCCTCTCTGTAGGGCATGCAAGAGAACCCCTTCTTTGTGAGGTGCCTCTTTTTCACTAGTTATGATTTGGTTGCATACATATTCTTAAAGCAGTTGCTTTGGCTAAAGACAAAGCAATGGGATGAACTATAATAGTGGTTCACAACCTGTGGGTAGGGACCCACCCGGGGGTCACATTTCAGATATCCTGCATATCAAATATTTAAATTATGACTCATAATAGTATCAAAATTATCATTACATAGGAGCAATGAAATGATTTTATTGTTGGAGGTCACATACCATGAAGAACTGTTTTAGAAGGTTTCAGCATTAGGAAAGTTGAGAACCACTGGGCTATAACTTTCCTTGAAGGGACAATAATAGCACTTTTGCCAAATATACAGTGAGGGAGACATACTTCAGGAACAAGGAGATGATTGTCTGCAAGTCCTGTGGAAAGGGCATTCTAATTGGATAGAATTTCACTGAGAGGTATAGCGTTTGGGACTGGGATAGCTTTTGAGTGGCTTCCTTAAAGCAGCTGTATTAATTTTTTTATATTTGTGAGTTAACTAGAATAAAACCATTTTGCTTGAATAAATCATAAAGAGCTCTTAACTTAATTAGAATAAGAGAAATTTTATCCTGTAGCTAAATGAGTGACACAGAAACATCAATTCAAGCTGATGTTCCAAATAACATGTTCCAATATGGCAATAGTTTAAACAAGTTTTTATAGTTATAGAACAAAAAAGTCATTAATCTAGTCACTTTTCAAATATATGGGTAGAGACATGCGGAAAGTGAGTCACAGCAAAGTGTCTCTGCTATCATTTTCATATGCCTTCTAATGACATTCTTATACTTGGGGGTTGTTGAAAGTTAACAGCCTGTTAAGTTATTACATCCCAAATATTTTCACATGATAGTGTATAGTGTGTTGATCAAACATGGAGGTGGGCAGTGGATGGCTCTTAAACAGGGCTACAGATGGCCCAAGAAAAGTTACCTCTGAATTGGAAACATTCCAACTATCACAGACATGAAGTTTAAGAAAATCAATCAACTTTGTAGAATCTTTAACATTGATGGAATCTTTTTTTTTTTTCTCTAGGCATTTTCATTCACACTAGGAAAGGGGGTCATGAGTGATGACTGTAACTGTAATATGGACTATGCCAGAAGTAACTTCATCCATTAATGTACTCACACATTAACATTTTCTGTGCTAATGTACTCATGCAGCAACAATTTGTCAACTCCATAGTGTATCAGGCACTAGTGCTTCAATGAGCTCATGCTTTTATGCCGGGAACTAGTAATTAAAATGTCATCTGTTAGCTATTCTAATAGGTGTTACTATAGGAGCCATTTGGAAGAAATTCCGAGTTAGGAAATACTGTGAAGAGTCACCAAGGAATATTTTCTTGAAAAAGAGCACTAGAATTGAGTTAAGGCCCCACAAGAATTAGCCAAATGAATTAAGGTATTTCAGATAGAGCTTGTCTATCCAAAGTCATTTAGGTAATACACAGTGTTACTCACCTGAAAGCAGTGTTTTATGGAAATATTTATTCAAGGGACTTTGGGATTTTGCAAACTACTATTATAAATGTAAGCATGAAACTAGGTGAATTTATAGTTGGTTCAAATTATGAACTGTGAATTGCATCGTGAATATCAACTGTCTTTACCTCTTACTGGTTGTGAGTTTGAGCCCAGGCACCTAGCAGAGAGAGTTGGTGGAGTGGGGGAGAGGGTGTGATGTGATGGAATGGAATGTGCTCATGTGGACAAGAGAGTCAGATCCTAACAAATCATTTTAAAAGCAGCCTACCCCTGATTTGCTTCCAGTGTTCCCAGATGAAGTCATTTACCATTTGTGTCTCAACAAGGAAGAGAAAATACACTGTGTGGGAGACCAAAGAAGTGTTTTGTAGAGAAACAAGGTGACCATTCAACCCAAAAGAGTCTTTTACTTTTTTACCAAATATAATCTACTTGTCTATAAATTAGAGTCAAAGAGAAGAAAGAAAACCTTAGAAATCTTCAAAGGAAAAGTCACTTCCTTGTTTGCCATGGGGACACTTCAAGGTTTGGAACACCCTTGGGCAGGGCTTAACCGTAAATTGCTTTCCTTCCTCTTGTTGTCATTGGAACTATTAGTTAAGAAGTCTGGGATAACAGGCCTTGCCTAAACATCGTGTAGACAAGCGCATTTGTGGTTAAGAAACTAAATATAAAGGAAAGATAGATGGTGTTCTCTGGGAAAATCTTGTCTCTACAGTCAAACCCTATATTAGGGACTGCTGGCTATAAGAGTCCTTTCTGAGTTAGATGGCATTGTGTCTAGCCATTGTTTGACCTGACTCTGAGAAGCACAGCTGGAAATATATGAAACACCTTTGTAGAAAACAAACAAACAAACCATTTTTAGTCTTGCATTGATAAGGTGGCCAAAACCCACATTCAGGCTCCCCATTATATTTTATTACCTTTCAGAGTGCCTTTCATTCTCTTATGTTTCAATTCTGTCTTAAAATTTCTTTAGAGGCTGAGAAGATTTCTGAGTGGTTAAGAGCGCTTGTTACTTTTCCAGAGAGCGAGTTCTCAGCACCCATGATGAGCATCTCACAGCCATCTGTAACTCTAGCTCTATCCGATTGCATGCTGTCTCCAGCCTTCACAAGCAGTCATAAATGTGGCATGTGAACATCATGCGTGCACACACACACACACACACACACACACACACACACACTAAATATAATAAAATAGTCTTTTAGAAAAGCAAGCTCTGCTTTATAAAATTTTTGATAGCAATTTCAATTGTATGCTTTCTATTGAAATCACAATATTTATTCATCATAAAACAAAATGAAATTTATAATGATCAAATCTATAATGATGCTCTCTACTGAAAATTAGGACTCACTTCTTTATATAGATTATGTTTTTCCTTTAGTGGAATTAGCTGAGTGAAGAGAGTAGATGCGTATTTGAGATTCAAAGAGAAAAAAGAAGAGAAGTCATAATATTTGCCCCAAATCAGCAATAATTACCATGAAGTTACTTGAATGATATTCTAACTGATATCATAGACAGCTTCTCATGTAGCCAAGGATAACTTTGAACTTTGAATCCTTCTGCCACTATCTCTCCAATTCTGGGAACACAGGCATGTGCTATCACACCTGATTTATACAGTGCTGAGCCTTGAACTCAGGGCTTCCTGAATATACAATCTTGTGCCAAGAGATAGTGGGAACTTAGTAAATTGAAATCACATTAATGTAGGAAGACTGAGACAAGTAGTGAAATTACCATTTCTGTATTTCTGTGTTTATATACACACATGTTAAATGCAAAATGATTTGCCAAGGTAAGTTTTGGCATCAGACATATTTATTACCATGTTTCTGATCCACGGTCTCACTATATAGCCCTGCCTGGCCTAGAGCTCAATATTTAGAGTAGGCTGCCTCTGACCATTGATTATTGGGATTAAAGGCTTGAGCAACTATTCCTGCCTCTTTATGATGTTTTAAAATGTGATATTAAGCTTGATTCTTAAACCTCTAATTTCATTTTTTCTTATCTGTACAAGGAGGAAAATTCTTATATCACAAACATACTTTTAGAAACTAAAAGACTAACAACTGACAAGATATAGTGAATGCCAACTTGCAATTTGAACTCTAAAGCAATCAGATCCAGGACTGATGAGATGGCTTAGAACATAAAGACACCTGCTTCCAAGGCTAATGATCTGGGTTTCATCTTCAGAACCCACACAGTGGGAGGAGAAAACCAACTTTCTCAAATTGTCTTCTGACATGTACATTATGGTACACACACACACACACACACAGACACACACACACACACACACACACACACACACACACACACACTACACAAATGAATAGCTCGTAAACAATGCAACAGAAATATAAAATCAGTTCCTTGTAGTGATA